ATATAATAAATATAAATGATATATTAAAATGATAAAGTTTACATTATGATTCATTATCATCTCTATCATCATCAAAATAAATATAATTTATCAAATCAATGAATATAAGTTCAATAATATAAATCATATATTATAAAATGAATTAATGAGAATAATGATACAAAATAATGAATAAATAAGAATAATCAACATATAAATTAAATAAATAATAAATAGAATAAAGAAATGAAAGAAAATAAAACATGAAATAAAGAATATTAATCAAATAATATCTTGAAATGAAAATATCACAATAAATGAAATAGATAAATTGTATAAATATTTAAATGTATGATAATCAGATGAAATTAATAATATATTCAATTATAAAATCATCAAATAAAAGATAGCAATGAAAATTAATGATATAAATTGTGATAAATGTATTAATATAAGATATATTACAATAATTAACAATAAATTAATTAATACCTTCAGATATTCATCATTAGTAGTAAAACTGAATGTAATTTATATAAAATTAAAATTGAGATAATAAAATAAATAATAAATACATAATATATTAGTGTTGGTAACTCTAAAGACAATCTATATGTCAATATAAATGAAATAATGAATAATAAACATGAATGATAAATATGTTAATGAAATAATTAGAATAGTGATGCAATATTGTATAAGAATGAAATAATAAATAATATATTAAATAGATGATATTCAAAGAAATGAATAATGAATATAAATAAAAAATAATAAAACATAAAATCAAAGAAATAAAATAAATAATAAAAGAAATGATTAAAAATAAAAATAAATAATAATAAAAATAAATAAAATAATGATAAATAAATATATCAATAAATTGAAATTAAATAAACAGATATTTTAGAAGATTGATTGAATCAAAATTTATATATAAAACTACTACAATCAATTCATTGAATTCAATCAATATTAAAAAAATATATTTCTCCAATTAACTAAAATATAAGATTGAGTAATATTAATTGTGTATAGAAAAGATAAAATATTAAAAAATGATTAAAATACTATCCACTTTGTAAATACAAGATATCAATAACAGAACACATTCTATTATCTTGTATTTGTCATAAAAAATCACAAAATGAGAAACATGATAATATTAGTATTATCATATTAAATAATAAGAAAATATAAATGAAATAATCAATACAAGAAATCAACATATGAAACAATGTTCTAATACAATGACATCACTATGATATGGAACAAACAAATAATGCAAAAAAGTGATGGACTATATCATAAAATACCATAGATATATATGTAATAGATAAAAAGAATAAAACTGATCTAATATTTGATATGACTATTGTGGCAGATCATAATATTAATGGAGCCTATTGGAAGAAAAGAAATATGTATAAAGAATTGAAAAATATAATAATTAAAATAGAGAAATTAAAAGATATCAAAATAAATTAATAATTTCAATAAATTAAATAGTAAATGTAGAAAGTATTAAATTAATTAAATAATTAAAAATAGAAATTAACATCATAAAAGAAATCAAAAACATTGTAATTAAGAATATGATAGATATCATGGAACATTACTTCTGTTATAATAGAAGATACTCTGTAGAGGTACGAGAGAACAGTCCATGGAGGAGATTAGTCTCACTTGATCCATGAAC